GGGGTAACCTGCCGTGTATCTCTTCCTTGTGGTGGGTGATTCCTGCTGCTACTCAACAGGCTGTGAATTCTGGATAATTCAGTTAGATGTGAAATCCCAAGAGCTGTATTTTTTTTTTTTTTTGTGACTATTTGATATCTTTGAGGCCAAAAGAAATGCCCAATAAATGCCCAATGCCCATAAACTTACTTCTGCCAGATCTGAATAAGAAAGAAAGTAGAAAGTCCAGAATCACAGAGATGCTGTGCTTTGAGACATTTGTTTGGAATTTGAACTGTTATTTCACTAATTCTTAGGATTAAGTCATAATAAAAGGTTTTAAAAAAGTTTTTATTGCTTATAATTATCATGTTACAAAACAATTAACAACTGTGTGAGAGATTTAATCTCTAGATCAGTAATTTTAAAGCTAAAATATCAAAGCACCCTTCTTTCTCTAAAGTAAAAGGAATTAATATTTGCATACTTTTGAACATGTTGCACGCATCTGAATAAAGAACTATACATTCAAATACTCTTGGAAATAATCCAATAGAAGGAATTTAAAGATGTTCATTTAAGGATATGTCTTTGGCTCTGCCCTTGCAAGTACTTATATGCATTGGTAATGTCATTGTCTTTATTAGAACTAATTTTATTTATTTATTCATAAAATTATTGTTCCCTCTACTACAGTATGTCAGCTTGGGGCTGTAGTCCTATCCTATTAACGATTCCTGGGGATTATTCCTGTCCACTGCATAGGGTAGTAGACAAGGAGCTGCCCAGTGCCGCCTCCTTCCCCCTTGTGACAGAGAGCAAGTGAATTGGCTTTTGATGTCCTCAGTGTTTTCAGGACTCTTCCCCAAAATGCCTTTGTAAATTTGTTATAGAGAACAGATCAATTCTGCTGTTATGCATCATGCTGAAAATTGCCAGGTGAACACAACTATCAGTGCTTAAGCTCTAGGGTCAGAGCGCCGTGTGAAAGGGAACAGGATGAAACCCCCTTTCACAGACTTGCACCAGCCCTTTTTGAAGTACTCTTGTGTGAGGTGTTACCACCCAGCACCCTGAACGAGCTCTGTGCGTAGGTCCCAAGAGGGAAATTACCAACTGGTATTAGGAGTGGGTTCAAACGCTTAGAGACCAAGCAGTTGAGGAGAACTGAGCTCACCAGACTATTGTCCTGTCTCTRAAAAAAGATCTAAATACACTTGGATATTTATTAGTATTCTAGTTTASAGTGCAGGACAGTGTCTGAGCGTGGAAAAAGGGCTGTCTCATTTACCCTGGAGAACAAGCATGGACTTTGCTGGGGCTTGATCTGTGATCTAACTCTTGTTTAAACAGCGGGTGTCCTGGATCAGGGCAGCGAACCCAGTACCTGCTTTCTGACAATGGCAAATTGCAGATTCCTGGAGGACCACGTAGGATTAAAATTACAGGGGGGTGATATTTCCTAGTATACTGCTTTTGCTACTAGTGTTTGGGGACTTTGGATGCAGATGTCTCATATGCTTGTGTTTCATAGCCCTTAATGGGTTTTTCCTCCAGGGATCTATCTATTTAATCATTTCTGAACTCATGCAAACAGTGTTCCATGAGAATGACTGTAAATTATCTTTCATGTACCTCAGCTAAATCGGAGAGAGATACTAAAGTCATATGCCTGGCTGTCTTGTGCTCCTTACACAATACACCAGTGTCTCTTCGCTTAAAAATCATTTATAATCCTTTCATGTTGGCCCTATGGTACTTGCTAATTTGGGTAACAAAAAGGCATTTCAGTGGAAGACTTTTCAAGACCCACTAAATTAATACAATGTGGCAAGACACCTTTTCTGCTTCTTGGCATCATCTTGCAGCGGTCATTTCCCCAGGAAGCCACTGTCTCCATGTTTTAAGATGTTAAACCTTCTGTCTTATATTTTATAGTTTGATTTACTATCTGTAGATGTGARTACTGTTGTTCCTGATGATTTCAGTGAGAAATGGATCGCATCAATTACTTCGGAATACCCAGGTCTTTGCTAGCTGAGACCTAATGTGGAGCATTCAACAGTACTGTTCCCATTGCTGTTGTACATATATAGAGGAAATCTTTTAAATGGAGTCCTCAAGACTTTATTTTTTCCCCTTATATAATGCTAAACATTTTTTTTTGAGGGTGAGGAGACAGGGGAAGCAGAGCTGAGCTCATGAAAGAGCGTGCTGTGGAAAAGCTGACAACGTTGTTGCATTTAGCATAGTGCTCACCTGTSCTTTTCTGATGAATTTATCTTCCTTTACATTGCAGATTAGGATGTGGTAAATAGGAGCAGAAGGCTCGAGCCTGCCCGATAGCCAGAGTCAGGTCAAAGATGGAAAATGAGAACGTGTGAGCCTGCATGCCCCTGTTTGTGCCTGTATTCACAACCTTACATGTAATAATGAGCTGTTTACCTTCAGAAAGAGCTTTTACCTTCAGAAAAGGCTTTTTTATACATGAGCTGTTTACCTTCAGAAAAGGCTGTTACCTTCAGAAAAGGCTTTTTTTATACATATATATTTATCTGAACAGCTATGTCTTCAGTTGTTCCAACTGTAGTGGCACTTATCCTGTAGATAGTATAGAATACCAAAGTTGCTGTAATTTACCATACAGAGAGACACATAAGAGGCTTTTATGTCTCTGGCCTATAAAATGTGGCTCTATATAGTTAATATTTAAGCTCCTTATCAATATGCTTCAATGTGTAGGGACTTGAGAGAAGAGCTTTCCACAGCCTGCTGAACCTCATAACGCACCAGGCCTTCTGCGTGTGTGCATGTGAGGGGGAAATCCTGTGTTACTGAGTTGTGCTCTGAAGATGGCAGCATTGGGTGAGTTATCACATTTTTCTTAGAGAAGCAGAGTTCTTAAAATACAGTTATTATAGCTGCACACGGCAAATTTATCATAAAATCAGTTTTTCATTTGAAGCGTTTTTCTGAAGAACTGTTGCTTAATACTGTGTTAGCAGTAGGCAGATGTGTGCGTTGCCATCTGGCCATTTTGTATATGTTTTATTTAAATTAGTTACACTGAGAATGCAAGTCTTTACCAAAGCTAAAGATAGCTTCTCACCAGCAAGTATATGCTTGTAAATATGTTTTCTTCATTATTATCATAGTAGTAATTCTTGCAGCTTTAGTAGAAAGCTTTCTCCTTATCCCCAGTATATCCAGCAAGGTGAAATGAACACCCTGCTCTGGTCAGCAGAGACAGCTCTCATGGTAATGCTGGTTCTCTCCCTTCTACCTCTCCTTTCCTGTTCATGCCCTTTTTTCAGAGCAGGGGAGGGTGTTTCTGTTGCTTCCCTCCACTGGCTTCATAAATGCTGAARTTCTCCTGGAAACAGTGTGGCATTGGTGGGATCCCCCTCAGTCTGAGGGATGTCTACAGAAGTGCTATCCTACCTGTTATGGCCACTCTTATGGATATCCTGTAATGGACAAACACCAGACTCCCCATTTTAGTACTTCGTTCATTTTAGGAACGTCAGTGTCTGTGATCACTCAATTTTGAGGAGCCCAGTCCTATCGTTTGGCTGTCAGTTTGTTTGTGTCCCGAGCTTATCTGCACATAGTGCCCTTCTTCTAGGAGAGCTGAGAGGGAAGGGGCCGGTTCAAAGTGCCCAGGAGGAGTCAGGCCTAAAGCTGAGCTAGTTTTTGTTGGTGGTGGGGGCATATAGATAAAAAGGGCTGTAGCTGCCTTAAAGTTTTTTTCTGGCAAAATATTAGGCAGGGAAGCTAAATTTTTACTCGTCTTGGTGTGTCAGCTTCACTCAAGTCATACGTTAGATTTCTGTCTCGTTTGTGTATGTCTGAAGTTCCCGGGACAGCTTTTTGGAAAACCTGCTTTTCTTCTAATTGGTGACACCAACTGCTTGCACTCATTATTCCAGATTATTCCAACTTGATTTGTGCAGTTCAGTGGCAAAGTCAGAGCTAGACCTTCGACTGCTTATTTGACAATCCGGTGCTTTCGCCTCCTCCTGTGGCTACCTGTGATTTCCCTTCCTATAGTGGAACCTGACTGAAAATCAGTAAAGTCACTGGATTTCTGCAGGTTTGGATCAGAGACAAGGTTAATGTTTTCATTCTTCTGTATTACACATTTTTGTGTAGTGCCGTGCTGCATAAGTCAGTGGTCCTACTATAAATCTTTATATTACAAAGAAAAAATCCTGTTACATGTTACAAGAGCTGTTAATTTCCATGGAGTTATGTGTCATGGAGCAAGTACTGAGTTTGTCAGATAACATAATAAACATATATATATTTGTGTTATTTTTGTAGAAGTCAGAAATCAGCTTCCCAAAAGCTTTATATGTAGAAATAGTTACTAGCTTAATCTGGTCTGTTTGATCTAATGAAAACAGTCTTCATGTGTCATAACAGGAGTTAAATAACGCAGGCACAGGACTGATTGTTGTCTTTGCTTTTGCATTTAGTGAATACCAGAGTAACCATCCTGCTCAAGCACTCCCTCACATTGCCCTTCCCTAGGTGGATGCAGCAAAGCTGGATGCAGGGCTGCTGTGCTGGCCTCGCACATGCCCAGGCTCGAGGCAACATCCACAGCCGAGTGCTCTGAACGGAGTGGCAGAGAAACTCAGAGGGTCTGGAGAGGTGGACAAAGGCTGTGCAGGATTTTCCTTTCAGGCACCTCATCTATTTCAGCAGGTTTCTGAAATCTGCACCATCTGCACATTGGACACCTAGATGCCCTTGCTTGTCTGTTCCTATGTGGCTGTTCTTGGGCACTGTGTGGGTGCCAAGTAAAAAGCAGACTCTCACATTTTATTTTTGTGCACAGAGCTCTTTTATTGATGAAGAAAATGGCACGTAAAATACTTGCCAGTAATAATGTCCTTCATCTTAATTTACTTAAAAATCATGAAATTCTGAAGTAGGGCAATCGAGYGAGTATGGCTTTGCTGAAGTGCTTGCTTGCAACTGCAATGTATGTAACTATTTATCTATATGTTTTACAGTGCTATTTTTTTACTATTGAATTTGGCCTTTGCAAGCAAGAAGGACAACTACGTGCTTATGGGGCTGGACTTCTGTCTTCTATTGGAGAACTAAAGGTATGTGGGTTGATATAGCCTTTAAGCAGAAACAACATATTTCTAGTCATATCAAAATAATAGCTGGATGTAAATGGTTTGGTTTATGAATAACTGTTAAAGTTCTCAAGATAAAATCCTTACTTTTGAAATATGATATTGATCTGAAAACTTTGGAAAATCAACTGGCACTTGAAGCATGAAATAGATTTGTAAGGACTGAAATACCACAACAGCTCTGAATTACTACGTTTATATCTATTTGAATTTTAGAAAGTAAGTACTTTCCTTTAAGTCACTTGYCTTTTTTTGTGCATGGAGTCTTCTTAATCCTRATTAGAACTCACATATTCAAATAGRTGAGGTGCTTTTAGTGTCCTGAATTCTGCATACTCTGCTTAGAAGAAAAACATTTCTTCTGAATACATGGAATGGTTTTGTTGTGGATAATCCACTGTATTCTAGTGGATTAATTACAGAGCAGCATTTATCAAGACCMTCATTCAGTAAATTTATCATATTTAAAAGTCAGACATGCACCTAAGCTCATGCTAAGCTTAATGTTTATGCCTAAATGACAGTACCTGGAGCTGTATTCTTAAAAAGGCCAAAGCACATTGCATTGGTAATTGTAGTGGATCATTCTGTGCCTCTTTTCTGCCTGAAGAATGTAAAACTAGCAAAGATATTTGACCACAAGTGTAATATTTTGAGAACTAGTGCATCTCTCTGRCAAGGTGGGAAGAAAGGGGAAGGAGATGAAGGAATGCTGTTTGTTCTGGGACCCCAATGAGCTCTTGGTGGCTTTTCATTTATGCCTTTGGTTCGGAAAGCATATATAGAACACTATTTAGAAATGGTTTTGCAATAGATCTGCTGTATATCTGTGTTTAGCCAGCGCCACTTGGCACTTTAACAGTAGTATCTCAGGCACCTTTTGTTGTTTGCTTCACCTTTAATTGCGAACATTCAGGCTGATGCTCATTAGTTAAATTGCTATGCTTTTATTAGTAAGGTTGCAGAAGAGAATTAACAGAAGTCGTGGAGAAAAGGTCACAGAAAAGGACTTTCACAGATATTGTTTTCTGTGATTCCATTACAGTTTTTCTCAGTTGAGTACGTGTCTCAGCCACAGAAGGATTTTACTTCCACAACCTGGTGATACTTTGTCCCCCAAGTGCAAAGATGATTAAAAACAATGACATGAACATTTCACTTGTTTTCCTCTGTCCCAACAACATTTAATGCCAAGCCCCAAATCTAAGGTTCTCCAGGGACCCAGGCCTTTTTCTTGAACTAACAGTTGAGGTTGTTAAGCAATGGCCCTGAAAATGCCTATCATATCATTTACAAAATCTAAAGGCATAAAAGCAAGGAAGCAAATACTCAAGAACGTAATAAATCTTATACCATCCGTGTCATAAACAAACACATTATTCTTATCAAGTATGCATATTTTCTTCCCACACAACAATCTTAGCTGTGATTCCAGATCTGATTTCTTAAGTCAGCAATAATCTTGCAGTATAAAGACAAAGGATAAGCCTTTGCAAAAACAAAAATAAAAAATATGTAATGAGCACATTGATGTGCTGYTGATGACCTGTTTCAAAGGTAAGAACATATGCCATAAGTCAATAATATTATATACTTCTGTTACACTACATATATATTTCATAGATGTTAAGCCAGAAGGGACTATTAGGTCATCAGTTTCACCTCTTATGTATCAGAGACTATTAAATTTCCCCTAGATCTTGCATATACKGACCGTAAGGGCTTAAGTTAGACTAAAACATTTGAGTTCTTGTGAGATTAGGCCCTCGGGTACTGCAGACACAGAACAGCACCATGGCACAAGGACCCATGGTCTCTGTGCAGCRAATGATAAGGTGAGAAATGGCCACTGGTCTTTTGGGGAGCTCTGTGCTCCAGGRTAGACAAGAAGATAAGGAAACTCCCCTGCCAAAACTAGTGCTAAGGTCTCTGCTGATGTGATGGAAGTTCTTTCTAGACCTCAGTTTCAGACAGGGGGTTTGGTGGAAGCAGGGAGCATCAGCCAGGTGCACCTGGGTGCCTCATATCCCTGGTGCATGAGCTCTCCTGTCTTGTGCCTCGGCATTGCCAGCCTCCCATTGACAGGAAAGCCACCTCTCTGACTTCTGCCCTGATTTCTAGCACCCCTTGTGAGAGAAAATTTCTTCCTTGACCTGCGGGGGTCTGAAAGATAATGCTAATGTGACAGGCTGTAGTTGAGATCCTGCTTATATCAATAATGTGATTGTAACAGACATGCTAATGGAAGCAGCAATTGCTCTGAACATTATGAGAACAATATCAGCTATTTCTGTGATGAATGAGGATGAACAGCAGACTCAGACTGCATGACCATGAAGTCTGACCCTTGTGTGTGCCGCCCCTGTAATTCTCACAGGAGAGAGAGGGAAGAAGTCCTTTAGGGAATAAGTACTGCCATTCTGAAGACAACAGTGATGGTGAGCCCACACTCTTCTCTGTGAAGCCTTTCAAATATTTATTTATCCTTTACACTAGAAAAGTTGATCTTATTCCGATCTCGATTTTTTTTCTGCCTTGACTGTGCAGAAATTTGATATTCCTGTGCTTTTGTCAGCAAGAAGAAAAGCCCTTTCTCCATTTGCCCTCCTCATTAATTCTCTTTTCAACCTCACAGTATTCACAGGAAACAAAACAGTGGCCAATTTTATATATAGCATCTAGAAATAATAATTGCCTTTTTTTTTTCTTCAGGGTGGAAGTAGCCAACAATAGTTGGCCTTTCTAGATGGGGGAATGGCTTWTTCAGTCATCCCTGTTTCTACATTATGCTACTTCATTCTGCAAATCTAGCCAACAGCTTTAGCAACAGAGAACTGAAAGCGAGGGAAACAAAGGCAGCAGCCTGCAAGGATTTGCCTTGAAGTTTTTTTCCCCGCTCAGTATTTAGGGTGAGAATTTCAGGTACTGAAAGATACAAGTCTTGATGTTTGTGCTGTGGAAGCATCAAATGGCAAATGCAGAAAGCACAACAAAATAAGGAGAAGGGTAAGATTAAAAAGCCCAGGGGAGAGAAATAGTGTAGTAAATAGTTATAAAATGCTCTCCCTAATAAACTCAGGTTAACTTTAGCTAGCACTATTACACGGTRTGTATTTGGGACTTAGAGATAAGGCAGAAATAATGTAGATTTCAGTTACTTAAACTATTTCTAAAAGGCACTTTAAATGTCTTTGGAAACTTTAATCCATTTACTTTATGTGGTGCACTCTTGAACTCTTTCCCTATAAAGGAGGCTTCCTATCAACCTCAGGTGGCTGTAGATCAAATCATATGTCCTTGTTATATGCTTCTATATTTAGCAGAGGCAGACTTCAAAATTTTTGGTATTCCTTTTTAAATCAAATACAGTATCCAGACATGTCTTGTTTTAATGATATTTTATGTTAAAAATAAGCCAGATTAGCCTAGCCCTCTTTATAACCAATAAGATAAAGCAGTGGATTCGATTACAAGTGTTGGTTTTGTTTTCTGAAAAGGATGAAGATGATGGAGAAGACAAATCCTGGATGCTAGATGCTCATTTTGCTGCTGCTTTTAACTGGACAGTCTCTTTCTATTTATCTAAACAATACATAAGATTACACTGATAACAAACAAAATTTCTGGTGCATCAGCTCATAAATCTGGAAATGTCCTGTGTGTTACAGATAAGCAGAGAGCCCTTTCAGAGCGTGTTTTTCAAGACTCAAATTCTTCCACAGAATGGCAAGGCAATAAAATCAGMACTGGCATTCAGGCAACTTCGGCTTGCCTACTTCTTATTCTGTCCCCTCGTGCACCCCAGAGACTTCAGCCTTTCTAAGTCATCTTTGGTTTTCCCACTGTTAGCTGAAGATTTTTTTTTTTTTTCTTTTTAATTTGCTTTGTTCTTTATGGTGAAACTGAAGAGCTCTGAGTGGCATTATTTTGCTTTGGTATTTATCCTCAAAGGAGAGATTCCACGACAAACCTCTTTTTTTTCCTCATGTGTCTGTGATATTGTCACTTAGGAAGTGATTCACAGTTGCTCAGTTTAAGTGTCTGGTGCCATTTGTGATGCCCTGGTTTATCTGAGCAGCTCTCCAGCTGCATCCCGGGATGGCATAAACCTCCTTTAGGCCCTGTGCTGTATCTTCCACCTCTGTACAGATGCCTCAGGTATCCTAGGCACTAGACACCTATGGTTAGGTACCTGGATCATCTCCTGCACTCTGATCTAGTTGGAGTGGAGGCATTTCACTAGGGTTAGGCCTGTTAACAAGTATGGGAATTTGCCTTTTTCTTAAGCTTCCCCACTGTCTAATATTGATGCTTTTCTTGGGAACCAGTGAAGATCAGTTTGGAAGGTTCACTCCATACTCTTGTCTCTTAAACTGTCTTAGCATAAGCATTACAACTTAAGGACAGCTATTATCCAAAGTCCACCAGATGGTGAGATAGCCTGTTTGACTGAGAGCTGTGATCTATATGAGCATTATTAGCCTTAACATCTCATGAAGGTGGATAGCTGAAGTTTAGATGGGAGAAACCCATGTTAGGTGTTTACACCTGTTCAGTGAAGATACATATCCAAAGAAAACAGAAATTAATTGCATTCATTAAAAAATACTCATCTGAGCTTAACAGCTTTTGGACTTAGCAGGCAAAGCATGTGTTTGGACTGCTGTGCTGTAGCAACAACCCTGCAGTACTCAAGTAATAGCCTTTCATAGCACTGTCATGTTGCTGCAGAGCTCTCGTTACGCTCTGAGTTACTGTCCTGACCATCCTTGTGCACGCTTGAGTGTTTCTGGTGCCTCGAACCTTTGACCAGAGCCTCGAGGCTGAGCTCTGCGCAGATGCCAGGCRGCAGGATTTCTAACCTACATCTCGCAAAGGTACTTAGCATTGCAGTGGTTGCCACTGTGATGCCTCACTGATCTAAGCCCCAAARCCAGATCCAAGAAGGGACAGAGGCCTCTCAGGTGGGAGCTGAGCAGATTCTAGGCATGCAAACCAGCCTGGGAATCTGAGAAAAATAATTGCAAGAGCTTTCTCAGAGCATGCTTGGGATAACATAACACTTATTTCTCTGCTTCCCCTTAAACTCTCCCCTTTTATGAATGGGCTGTCGAGGATTTACAGCATTTGTTCAAGGTACGGGAGCCACAGGTTAAATCCTCAACTCTCTAGCCCTCTAGTCCCTTCCTCCTGCTCAAGGAACGGGCCTGATCCATCAGAGGTCATTTCTGAGTGGAGAAGAAGAAAACAACCTCRCCCTTCCTTTTGGAGCTGTCATGATACAGAAGGAGGATTCAGGAGCCATTCTTAGGAAGCTACTGATTTGGTTCCCTGAATCYACTTGGAGTTTCAGAACTTAGTGCTTTAGATGCTTGAGGCATCAGGCCCCACCTGAAAGTACAAAGTCACCTTAAAAACAGATGTTTTTATCCATGGTTAACCTCCCAGGAAAGCTATTATATTTCCCAGTCAAGGAAAACAAATTCAGTTCAATGGAAGGAGGTAAATGCCTAAATTTACAGGCACTCAAGCACATCGGCAAGGAGATGATGGCAACAAGGATAGAGACAGGGGCCAAATCAGGTGAGCCTGTTCTGCAGTCCACTTACAGGAAGGTGCTGGTGAAGACAGGCCAGTTCTTGTGTGTTTTCTTTTTAAGCCTGTTTAACTGATGGCTGTCTAGAAACTGCAAATCTGGTGGAAAGGAACAGTTGCATGTACTGAGGGAAATTAATTCTCCATCATTTTAAATTTCCATGTATTGATTTTTCATTTATTTGTTTTGAGGAGAGACAAAGTGGGAAGRAGAGACTTTGCTCCAATTTTATGTGCTGTTAGTTGGAGATTGTAGGCTGAGAGTTCGYAGGTTTCAGAGCCTTTCACGTGGATTTAGTTTTGAATGACTTGAATAAAAGATGTGGCAGGTGCCTTGAGGTGCTGCTCTGCTCCAGAGACTGTCCAGGGAAAAAGAAAGAAAAAAAGAGAAGAAAAAAAGGGAACCTTCATATCTCATGGATCTGCTCTTTCCATGAATTTCTCTATGCTTTTTACCCACATCTTCAGCATGGATGGATATTAGGGGATGAAAGGATGTGGATTTCAATAAGCTCCCTTTCTGTGCCTGCGTTTCTGCCAGGCACTGAGGATGAAAATGCCTGTGCTCTGAAGGTCAAGGTACATCCAAGAGACTAATACAAGTAATGCAAGGCTCTGAGTGGAAAGGGGAAGCTAGCRGAAGATTTTGTTGTAAAGTGTCTTAGTACTTAGTTTTTAGCTTCAAGATGTGTCCTTTTCAGTGGCTTATGCCAGTTACATAAAGAGTAAGGCTAATCCAACATCTCTTCTTTGGGTGGCAGTACTTGATTCTTGATGTGCCTAACGCCTGCTCTGTGCCTGTCTGTGCCTGTTAGCTCCTTTCTTCCTTCCTGCAGTATGTGGTGCACTTACGTCCAGGTGTATGTGGTAGAAGGGTGATGCATTTCAACAGCACAAAATCCATAGGCATCACTTCATGGATTTCCAGATACACAGCTTCCCTCTTAGGCACACTGTCAGGAAAACAGCATTTAAATTTGGCCTGAAATTGTAATGCAAGGATTATGTGAATCGTTCGGTCATACTCCGTTCCTCTACCAAGCTGATTATCAATTCTGCCAGTTTAAATGATATTTTGACAATGTAAATATTTGTAGTTGTGTAGATCATTTTCCAGGAACGGTTATTTTTTTGACTTTTTTTTTCCAGATAAAGATTTAGGTCTAGAGGCCCTGTGTGACAGGTGCCATTCTAATTTGCTCTCAATTTTTTAAAATAATTATTTTGAGGAAAAAATGACAGTGGCTGAAAAAAAGAGATATCTTAATTAACATGTGATTTATTCTGTTCATACTGAAGAATCACTGTGTGTTAAACAAATGAGGGTACCAACTAATGGCAAACATACAGCTCAGTGAAATAAAAGCTGTATCCAGCTGCATAGATAGTAAGGGGCATCAAAATACAGTTTAAACTGCATTTTAACTGTATTTAATTGTATCAAAATACAGTTTAAAGGATTTTGTAATGTATTTTGCAGCATGCTCTCTCAGACAAGGCAAACGTGAAAACATTTGATCCAAAGACAACCTGTTTGCAGGAATGCCTTATCACCACTTTTCAGGAAGCTTACTTTGTTTCAGAAAGTTTTGAAGAAGCCAAAGAAAAGATGAGGTAAATTCTTTTCCTTCACTCCAAAATCTTAATTTTCTATTCATCAGTGGTAGCAAAAAAGAGGTATTAATTGTCTCTTTTCTCTCAGGGACTTCGCCAAATCAATCACTCGCCCCTTTTCTGTGTATTTCAACCCATACACCCAGAGCATCGAGATCCTGAAGGACACGAGGAGCATCGAGAACGTCGTCCAGGATCTGCGCAGCGATCTCAACACCGTGTGTGATGCCTTAAGCAAAATGAACAGATACTTAGGGATTTGACACTTGTGGTCCTGTGACTTGCTGTCTGCTGCTCTGTCAGTAGCCGCTCTGGTGACATCCCCTGGCATGGCTAACTTTTCATCAAAGTGCATCCATTTTCCCRTTAGAGCTTGGCTTGTGTCGTTATGTAGCTCTGTCTAATTGTAATGTGCAGACAAACCAAGGCAATGCTAATTCATAAATGCAACATGGAATGTGGCAGCTTATAACCAGCAATTCCTCACCACAGTATCATGTGCAAGTACCCGATTAAAAACTTACCTGGCAATGGTTTTGTTTCCCTAAAAGGGTGATTCACTTCAACATAATGTATAAGAAATAGTGCTGCTGATTTCATTATGAGTCTTAGTTTATTTCTTTGTAATCTCTTTCTTCCTGTAAGAGTCCAGAAAAATTATTTGCGGAATTTTCCATTTTCTTTGTAAGAGAGTCAGTGTTTTGTTCTACAGTGGTAAAGACAATGTTTGGCCATGCACCTGTAACGAGCCAAGTGACAGAATAGTACAGTGAATAAACCAGTGCTGAGATTAGGCAGGCATTCATCACATCAGCATTAAAAGGTCTATGGAAATTACAGCCTGAGAGACTCCTGACTGACAGATACTCTCAAGTGGATGAATAATTGCAAAACGACACAGGACCTCTGGCAATTCTTGCAGGATGGGTAACTCTAGTTCGTACGTATGGTACCTCCGATGGGTGATAATCCTGAGTGTGCTTCCTCCGTGGCGTTTATCTCGGGATAAGAGTGGAGGTGCTTTGGTTACTCCAGACTGTTAGATGTGAATATAAAGCCCTTCTACATCAGCGTCTGCTTTTGCAGTTGCTTGTGTTTTGAGGGGGCTCCTCTTGCATTTCGTGCGTAATCTGCCTTCCTTCATTATGCCGCGTTCAACCTTGGGCATGCCTGGCTGGGTCTGCACTGTATCAGTATCAGCAGCTACAAAAGGGTGAGTATGGAGGTTGTTATTTAATTAGAGCCAAGATGATTATCAGTGGGTAGATTACTTGTGGGGTGATTAAATCATGGAGACACCCAAGCTCCGAGCTCGTACCAGATGGATGCAGGTAATGCCTGTGTTAATAAGCTCTGAGCTGGCAAGCCCTGACAGAAGTACGAGCTCTATCTGGGGACCGTAGTGCAGAACTATTTGAGCCAGCTCTTATCTGGAAGCAGTAATTATGCATGTCTTTCCTTTATCTGGGTTATTCCATTCTTCTATTAGTCCCGATAATAGAGAGTTGACTGTATTGTAGGGACCCTTGTTAACGGGAACCGCATGGCTTATGCAGATCGTGTCAGTGGGGGTGACAGTGTCATAGCTTGTCTACATATGTGGAAAATAGGTAGGTATTGAAGCCCTTCTCCCAGCTGAAATCACTATGCAGGAATTTTCAAGTGTCATGAGCGGTTTCAACTAGAAAAGAGCACCACCTGATAGTATCAGCACATCCTTAAATATGAGGCAATCTGTAAGGGTAACTTTCATAGGGAAATGCCCAACCTCCTCAAAGATAGCTGTGAGATAACAGGAACCGCTCTGCCCTGTACATGATCCCTGCTGCATTTTAATGCTGCTGTTAATACAGTATGGAAAATGTAGTTTCAGACTTCACTGCAACTGCCATTGGTGCAAATGAAGAGCTGTTGAATTATCCCGTGGGGCGCCGCTGCGGAAGGAGGTTTTTGGCTTCCTGATCTTAGTGTTGGCTCCGTTAACTTGCACTTATCACAGAAGAGTTGCTTCTATGGCTTGGTATAGAGGCGTCTTCTCTCTTCTTGTGTATTATAATAAAGCTCTTGTAGCTCCTTCTGGAGAAAGTGGACATTACCAACATTTGCTTTATCCACTCTGAAAAATCTTGGCACAAAGATCTTACTTGGTTAAAGAACTAATGGAGTACTGACACTACTTAAATAAAATAAAGTCACGAAGAGAAACAAAGATGCAAAGCTTACAAAATTACTGAGGTTTTCCCGTGAATCAGAATTACACAGGGAAGCTTTTAATACTTACATTATCTGGATTTATTCTCTTTTTCTGAATAGCTTGAAATAAGGTTTCCGCAGCAGTAAAACAAAAGAAGCATATCTTTGTTTTGTTTTGTACTGTTAACAAGTAAATCTTATTATGGATTAGGGAGAAACCCTTGAAATCCAATAGTCATTTTAGGACTAATGATGGCAAGGAAACTGTCTGCAATGAAGATATAATGTCAATGAAACAGAACATTGTCAAAGGATAATGGGCTCCTGCTGCTAGATATATGCTTAATCCAATGATTTTATTTCTATTATACAACATGATTAAAAATAAATTAAATATAATGGGCTAAGGAATAATAGTGATTTAGAGAGAAAATTGCTCATTGTTCTCCTATGGTAAAGCTGCTTTCTTAGAGGCTTAGCGAGTAGCCTCGTGCTGGGCCGCAGCCAGTGAGCAGGCGGGGCGCGCAGGGTGCGCTCCCTGCTGCACTTCCCCAGTCGCAGAGAGGTCCCACTCAGCCCAAATTCTTCTGTGCGGTTTTTATTAGCAAATTAAGATCAGCCRTGCAGCAATCTCCTTGGATGACAAGCTCATTTGGGCATAATGAGGGAATTATTGACAGTTATCAAATTACACTAACGTTTCATTTAAAACAGGCCGTATTTATCCAAGGTGCTTGTTTAGCTTTAGTGAGCTGGACTMTGGAAATTGGACTGCTGGCTTAGGCTCATTTATTTCCCCGTGTAATTCTGAACTGATGTTTTATGGGTCTGAGATAGATGCCCTTGCTTTGCCTGCACAGAGTAAATGGGCCCAAGCTTAATGAATGTAAAGCATTGCAGTGTTTACCACCATGCRAAGTCTAAAATGAAAAACAGCACTCTGAAACATTGCAGCAAATACAAATACCAAGTTTCATTTGCAAAGCAAGACATGGCTCATGCTTTTCATTTCATTTATTTGGTAGAGATGGAGTGGGGAGGGTGCTAGCACAATATATGGTGTTTTCTCTCTCCTTGAGACCTGTTTAGAAGTCTGTTTTAAGTTAGACCCTCAACACACTTTCAAGAAATACAGTGTCTTTTTTTTCTTTCCTCTAGTTATGTTAACCTATTGTCATGGAGTAAATTCTGGAAGTTTACTGTAATTTCCATTTCCTGATGTACTGTAATGGACCAAAGAAATACTTTCACATCTCTGAAAGGAGCAGCTAGGCCAGAGAGCTGAGGCTTTTGCTGGCTAAAGCGGGTGTAGGGCTGGTGCCAACCCAGCCTGGTCAGCAGCTGCTGAGAGCTATCGCTGGCCAGCAGCAGTTTGGCTGCTGCTTGATGAACTGGTAAGCTGGGATTGCTTAGGCTGGAGAAGGCTGAGGGAGGCTTGATAACCACTTTCAAACACCTAGGAAGAGCTGCAAAGCAGAAGGAACACACTGTTCTCCAGCCTCAAGAAGTAATGGACTGAAATCGGGAGAGAGGAAGATTAAGTTACGTAACAGAGAGGACAGCACAACTGTGGGGAGCAGATTGCCTAGGGAGACAGCAGAGACTGAGGGAACTGCTCAGATAAATCTCTGTGCAGAGTGGTGTTAGTGCTGCCTTGAGACCAGGAAACAGCCTGTGCAACATCTCCGAGTCCCTGGCACCAGCTGCCAAGGGAAGATGCAGCAGGGGCTGCAGCYGTCTCGTAGCAGTGRGGTTTGGGAGCCACCTTCACCGTGTGCCTTCAGCAGCACCTCTGCCTGCCCCCTTCTTGGGAGCCTCACCAGCCCTGCAGAGCGGCTGGTCGTCTTTCTGTCCCACCACAGGGAAGGAAAAATATAGCCTTAAACGTTGACTACACTGCTCTATTTCGGTTGTGCTTTAAGTTCATAGGCCTTRCATCCGAGAGGAACTCGGTTCAACTCTGCTGTTTCTAGCAGCTACTCAGAATCTGAGTGAGCAAGCTGCATTTGTCCTTTTATAAACAAGATTTAGAGCTGTTTGGCAGTATAAACAAAATTGGAATCCTGTATTTCAAGATATTCCATCTGATTTGAGCAGGTGTTTAGACCTTTGGGAAAATGGTGCTAACTTGCACAGTCTGGAGAAGCTGGAGCTCCTTCCTCAAGCTCCAGAGGCTGAGTAGCTCCAGCCACACGTCAGCCTTGGTGACGGCCAGGGACCGTCACTCCCTCTGCTTCCAAGGGAAAGAAACCTCTTACGGTCCCCGATGTAGCCAGCCAGGGATATGGGGAACTGCTCCCAGATATCTGCCATCCAGATAGGACCTCAGGGGCCAGATCAGGGTTGATGCAATGCCTGTTTGTTTAGGGAACGAGATTTTTCTCCATCCTGGTCACTTTTCTTGTTTCAGCAGAAAAAAAAAACCTATACCTTTTTAGAAATACAGCAGAATGCTCTTCAATCTCTGTAGAAATCATTATCATATTTCCAAATAATTTAGTTTTGTTTCAGGAGCTGCTCCCCAGTTCCCTTTGTTTGATTTTGTTTTATCCCTCCTATTAAGAGGTTGAGTTGCCAAAGGGAGTAATTCTGGTGTTGTTATATAATGGCTGTGTGCTGTGGTATCAATCACTTAATCTCTGGAGATATTTCACAAATTCCTGCCTTCTCAGTGAAGAATAGGTCAACAGTGACAGATTCCTCTTCTGGGCTTTAAAATACATCTGAGACATGAAGCTGAGAGAGATGTTTTGGTTATACTTGTAAATATTTATTAGTAAGGAGCGCCTCTAGTTGATATAGAGAGGGCTGTGGAGGTGTCCTTGGCATCCTTATTGGCAATTTCCTATAAATTAACTGAGCTTGGAGATTAAATCATGTTCTCCCAGGTTGAAGTAAGCCATGAATTTTGCATTGTTTCATTTTGTATCTGGTATGTGAAGAAATCATAGGTAAATATAAAACAACCAAAATTTCATGATGTCTATTCAAAGCATTTCACAACAACTATCTTCACTTTAAAAGAAGTCCTCCAACACCTTAGAGTAAAAATTCGTATTTCTTTGCCAGTAGCTGAGATGTTAAGATGAAACTAAAAATAAGTGGTGACATCTTCTTGGGATTTGGCCTGGAGTAGACAGTTCAGGTGGAATAATGTGAAATTGGTTACATAGGCATGTGCTTTCAACCACAGCTAGTGATGGATATTCAGACAGACTTTTTTTTAATGTAGCCATAAATTTAAAATGTTCAGAAAAAAAATAATGGGGGGAAAAGCAGCTGTTGCCACAGCACAATGTTGGAAGAAAACACTGAAGTTTGTAAAGCCGCAGGAGGTGGATTTCAGTCCCTGCTTGACTGGCACGTGGCCTGAAACACAAACCAAGTCCGCCTACACCGCCAGCTTCTGCAGGAGCTCAAAATACTTTTTGAATTGTGGTGCCATTTGACTTTCATTTTTCCATAAGGGTTATAATGAGCATTATTAATTATGGAATGGTTGATGTTCCAGCAGCTTTTTGCCTCCCGCTTCTCTTGTCCCCACACACTCCACCCACTCTTGCTGCTCTGCATGGGACCAAAGAAATGCTGAAAAAGTGACACTGGCTTTTCCCAGGGCTTGACAACTGGGGAACACACCTGAGATGCCTCCCTGCCACCCCATCCCACCTCGTAGCAAACTGCTACATTCAGAGATTTTAATGAGGCCAATTACTGGCAAATGAGTTCAAGCTTGTGCACACAGTGAGTTTGCCGCTCTGGCAGAATTTGTTTGAGGGGAGATCAATTTGGTTGAGTTCCCTTTTGATTATAAACCCGATCAATATCACCTATCGGGTAATGTTAGGAAGGAGCAAACTTCTCACGTCAGAGGAGTGCTGAGGAGCCCAAACTCCTCCGCTGCTGCCGGAGCGGCTCGTGTGGCACTGACGGCCGGGCCCGTCATTTCAATTACAAGCAGCTCAGAATGGGTTTCAGTCGCTGGGCCAAAAGGCTGCATTTTGCCTCCATGTCTCAATCCAGATTTTTTTTTTATTATTTTTTATTTTTTTCTGAAGCAGATATGTATCTGTTAAAATCCTCTTCTGCAGTGCTATCTCTGGAATAAAAATGCAGCGCGCAGAAGAAGATGCCAGGACCACCAAGTCTTGCCTTTTCTGGGATCTCATTGCTTTCTTACAGCGTGGGTCAACACAGTTAATGCAGTCAAAGGAGAAACCTTTTGGCCTATCTGTATGATGGGCAGAAGTTAAAAAAGCACCTTGGTCCCACAGGAGAGCTCTCACTC